CTCATGCAAATTGTGGTAAACTTGCGTAATTTTGTCGCGTGGTATTTTTTATATAACTTTCGCACATTTTGTACTCACGTTTCACCTTTAACCAGTTTCCTCTATATGCTCATTTAGCGAGTATTTATGTCGTCATATGCGTTTACTTTATTCGATATCGGCATTTCGAATGATTGGCTGTTGTTTGACATCTCAGATGTGGCTGCGATTGATGTGCATGTTGACAAGGTGCCTACTTGTCTATTACCCACTACCTCGTCCATCTGGCTCCAGGAGACAGTTGGTCGTTGCTGGAGGGGACGAGGTGCACAATCCTTGTGATCGCGCTAGGCTCGAAGAGTGGTTCCATGTACTCAGTGTGAAGCGAACTACGGCCCAGCCACCGTCTTGTGTGCACATGATTTCCCAAATACAGCGTGCTTGTGTTTTCTTGTGAAGGAGTGTAAGCCGGCTCCGTTGATGAAACCTGGCTCACATCCGCATGCCTGCCGGTCTTATTCCTTCGGGTTTACGCTGGATATGGGGTGTGTGGATGGAGCTGTGGGTGGTGCAGTGCAAGCCACCCATGGTCCATCTGTAGGCGCAGTAGTTCTGTGGCTGGAGACCGTGACAGGCAAATCCGAAATCGGATGCCGCCACCCATATATATATATATATATATATATATATATATATATATATATATATATATATATATATATATACCGTAGTGCTCGCTGATGACCTTAAGCTCATCGGAAAATTGTTCTTCGATGAGCTTCGCATAGGTGCCCAATATGGTATAAGCTCCCGTAATGATAACGCCGAGCGGTTACTACACCTGTGTGAATATGCTCGTCTCTTTCTCGCTGGCACTAATTTTCGACACAGCACTCGCAACAGAGTAAGTTGGCGTCCACCAGCCTCAGGTCGGCCGTGGACGCAAATCCATCACATCGCAAGCAGTTACCGCAGAGACGCTGTGTCCGAAACTGTCACTCGATTTGAAGCACAAGCGTAGACTCTGATCACACTCTTGTGTACCGATCTTCGGGTGCGTTTCGGCGGACGTCCGCAACGTCACAGTGCGCGCATAGACACTAGCCAACTGACGAAGCCAGGTGTTCTGAATACGTATCAAAGTACGCTGGCATCCGAGCTGAGTAACCGCCCAATGAACACCGCCGAAAATCACTGGTCGCATATTCGCTAGATGTTACTATCGACAAGCGTGTCTGCATGTGGCAAACCAAATTGTCAAATTGGGCATTCAGTCTGCACAGTCATTGGAACTTCTGGGTAGACGCTGACGCATCCCGGTTGGAAACGAACATACTGAGACTCGCAAACAGTTCAGCACCGAAATGCATGCTAGCCTGAAGAGAGACAAGGAAACATTGTGGTCTCATTGTGCATCGGAAATAAAAACAGCCGCTGCCGTTGGTAGCCATAATAAGTTATCCCGTCTGATACGGGAAATGGTCAGCGGGAGACCTGGTGTTAACGAGACCACACATAACAAAAGTGGATAGCCGATCCACTGCTTGTTAAACGTTTTGAGACGCAGTACAACCAGTCAGTGCAGTCAGCTTCTCTCCCGGCCATGGATCGCATTACTCCCTGGACCTGCCCACACGGATAGAAATCGAACGTGAGAACAGACTGTTAAATTGTGTAATGCGGCAGGGACAGTTATTACTACTCCAGCCCTCCTCAAATTCAGCGGACCTGCTCTTGTAGATGATTTACACAAGTTACTAGTGAAACTGTGAGAGCAGGAATCTGTCCCAACTGACTAGGGCCGCTCCATTATAGTCCCAATTTTCAAGGGAGTTCCCCGTTCGGAATGCAGCAATTACAGACGGGTCAGTCGGATCTGAATTGCCTCTAATCTACCTGTGTCTGTCGCTCTCCACAGACTGATAAGCACTGATGAAAGTCAAATTGGTAGGAGCAAACCGGGTTTCGTTGAAATCGAAGCTGCATCGATCACATCTTTACGTCGATTGTCGGAACATCGCCATATTATTGGCGACCCACGGTAGTCTTGTTTCTCGACATCAAAGGTGCCTTCGATTCAGTGGATTGATGTATTATATATATATATATATATATATATATATATATATATATATATCTTCACAGTCTTTTCAGACGTTGTGCCTTCCGAACCATGGAGAAGAAAATGGCGAAGATGTTGTGAAGATGAACTGCGATTAAAATATGGGAAACTTTTTTTGGTTTTACACACTCCATTTTGTATTTTTTTTATTGTTTTGTGAGTTTTTGTGTGCATGAAGGTGAGGGTAAAATGACAGAACAACATTGACGCCACTGATGTCTGTTGCGGGCCATGTCGTCTGATGTTCTTAACCACTGAGATTCAGCATCACGTGGTCCCCAACCTGGAAGACGGACTGGTCCGACTGCCGCCAGACTTGAGTTTGCCTTCTTCATGATCCTTCGCCACGTCATTGACTGTCCACCGCGGCGCTTTTTCCTGTCGCTCCCTGGGAGTGCAAATAGCGCTCGACGTGGAAGGCGATCGGCTGGCATGCGAAAACGTGCCCGAGCGAACGCATGCGATGTCGGAGAATAACATCCTGATGACTGGCACTATTCGCCACAACACGCGGTCCCTCACCTCTGCGTTGCTTACGTGGTGTTGCCACCACACCCGAGAAATCCTTCGTAGACAGTGATTGCCGAAGTCTGACAGCCGCTTCAAATCTTCTGTGCGAATAGGCCAAGTCTCATAGCCGTAAAAGAGTACTGCACGGACGGAAACATTGTACACCCTGCCCTTGAGCTTGAGACTGACATCAGTACGACGCCATATGTGTTTCAGGTTCATGAATGCAAGGCTGGCCTTTGCAATCCGTTGTGAGACTTCATCTCCAACACCGCCACCATCCGTGATGCAACTCCCTAGATAAGTAAAGCAAGAGACTTGCTCCAGAACATGTCCAGCAATTCTGAGCGCGGGTTCAGGCGCCTGCCAGTCCTGGAGCAGCGTTTTACATTTTTTCAGAGTGAAGCACAAGACGTACTTAAACGCCTCCATCGCCAAGCGGTCCAAAGCGCTCTGGACGGATTGTGGGTCGTTCCCCAGCAGGGCAATGTCATCGGCGTAGTCTAAGTCCGTGACTTTGTCTCCAGGGAGGAGCTCAACACCGCAGTTCTGGACACCTTCCAGTGCTCTTCGGAGAACATCTTCGATGGCGAAATTGAAGAGGTAAGGTGAAATAGGGCAACCTTGGCGAACACCGCTGGTCACAGCAAATGAAGAAGAAAGCGTGCCGTAAGCGCTGAGTTTGCCCGACGTGTGACTGTAAAGTTCTTTCAGGATGATTACAAACTTGTCCGGCGCACCTTTCTTCAGTAGACCGATCTATCTACTGAATCAAATGCCGCTCCGATGTCCAAAACACACACACGATTGAGTTGGCAGATGTCACGGGAACAGGTTCAGCAGTGTAGGTGAGGTTGATCGCCATAGATGAATCAGGTAAAATGGGTGTGAATGGTACAAGGGAAGGGTGAGTAAACTGGTGGTGTGTGCTTGTGCAGTTGGCATAGTGACATGAGTGAATAGCATGGTAGCAGCAAAACACCGGGTGAATGGTTGTGGTTATAAGTCCATGGTTCGTCAGTGGGCGAGATACTACCCGGTTGCCCAGGCCGAAGTAGAGGTTTGTCTTAGGGGTCCCTACCCCGAGTCTTTGATCAAGCATCTAACGTACAAGGCAGCAGGGCGATATAAGGGTATCGCAACCCATTGGGAGCCGGTGACTAAACGAGTGGTTCATACGCCTTTAGGACCGTATAGGATCAGACGCCCAACACACCCTTGAATTACAATGCCACTCAGAGAGAGGCAAAGGTCAGTGACTTTATTTAGTGAGAGTCACATCCGCCACGTCACAGTGTTGTTAAACGGACGTATGTGGCTTTTTATTGGGAGAACGCTTATCAGGCGAAAACCCACTACGTCCTGGAACACTGCTGCCGAACCATTTGCTGGAATGGGAAAATCCCGAACCATCCAGCTGACACCACGAGGCGGTTGTTTAGCAAGTCAGCCGTAATCTCAAAGTGTGTCCCAGAAATACGTAGACATTATCAGGGCTTTGTACGCGCAAAGTTCGGGCAGAGTGAGGGTTTACGACAAACTATCGCCGCCATCCAATATCTCCAGCGGTGGGAGACAAGATTTCCTGCTGTCACCTTTCCTCTTTAACTTAGCCATTAACGAAGTCATAAAAACGACGTTTGCTGTACACGATTTACAAATTGGGGAGCTGCTTTCTGGTGAGCGACTTCTTGACTTGGAGTATGCTGACGGCATTGCGCTCATATATGACAGCGCCCAAACGTGTCAAGCAGCAGTAGACAGATTAGCATTGACTGTCAATTGTTTAGGGCTATGCTTTGCACCCTCGAAATGCAAAGTCCTTCTCCAAGATTGACAGGGACCCACCCTTTCGCTGACTATTGATGGTGATCAGCTAGAAGTCGTTCAGAAATTCAAGTACCTGGGCAGCTATATTTGCGCCTGAGGGACTGCAGATGAGGTCAGGCACCGTATGGAAAAAACTCGAGGTGCTTTCGCCAATCTCCGCCACCTGTGGCGCCGACGCGACGTCACTCTCGCCCTGAAGAGCGGAGTTTACAATGCAACCCTATGTTCAACTCACCTAACGGTTATGAATCCTGGCCCATCAGTTTGACAGACATAAAGTGGCTGGTTACGTTCGACCATGGCTGCCTTCGCAGCTTAGCTCATGTCGGGTGGGAACATCGCTTGAGCAACTGGCACGTTCGGCGCCGCGTATTTGGTGCAGGGGGAGGGAGTGAACCGCTCAGCACCGTTCATTCTTTCACCACCAAGCTTCGATGTCTGGGCACATACTGCGCATACCAGCCCACTCTAGGTACACGCACTTTGGTGCTCCTTGTTTTTGCCGGTGGACTTCATTCTTCCTTGACTTTAACCTTTCTAATTTATCTTGCCTGTGTTAGGTGGATCAAACGTTACGCTATGGTGCGACTTGTCGTTAAGCGAGGTGATCTATCTTATTTCATTGTCGAAGTTTCTGTTGGCATTGCGATTGATGATTTGCTCAATCTTGTTTGTGAAATCTTCAACGGATATTTGAAAATTGGAAGACTATGTTCTGAGATAGCAGAGTTATCAGAGCACGGCGTTTCCTTACCGCCTAATATGCAGGCAGGTTCTGGAATTTTAACTGAATTATCCGTTTTAAAGGGTCTAAATGATGATCAAATTACCGAGCTAAAGTTGAAAGACGAATGGGGTGAAAAATGCCTTCCCAGTGGGGGCTATATCGAACGAAAAGACGAACTTGGTCGGCGTAATGGCAAAGGTGAGTGAGAGCTTTGCACACATTTATTTCGAAGCTCCTACGGAAAAAATGAAAGATGTTTTGATCCGAACCATAGATGAAGCCAAGAAGCTCATCAGTCGTGATTTGGTTAAGATGGACAAGCTTATGGACAAAGCCACTGTTAGAGAAGCCCTTATGATGCTTTCGGGTGCGGTCACTATTGTTTACCCAATGGGGTTACCCCCATACGACCCGATCAAGCAAGAGCTGGACAATGAGGAGGATATCAGCGGTACCCAGGTATTGCATCTGATTGTGGTCACTTCATTTGACACACAGGTTCTTCTTTGCCCATTATGCTTGTTCTGTGTTGACACTTCGATTGGTTTTGTTAGACTACCTGGTTCTCTACTACGGCCGGTGGCCTAAATGATGAGATATATGCCTCGTAACCCAATGGTCACCGGTTCGAGCCTGTATAGATGCGGGCGACCCTGCGTATGTCTGGTGGTGGTCGTATGGCATTTAGGCGTTTTTGCAGCGTACCGGCTTGCTGCCGTTTTCCCTACTGATGCCTTTTTTCTGCGTGGTTCACGCATCTTGTTGCCTTTTCCTATGTCGCCGCTGTCTTTCAGTCAAACTTTTTGGGTCGGACACCCTTGGTGCAGACCGTTGTCACTATGTTACCTAACTTTGAGCACCCTAGTAACATTTAAATCTATATAGAAACAAAACTTCGTTCAGCTTATTACTGCGTCTCCTTTGTTGATTATCATCAACTGTCCCTTCTCAGCGTGACTCAGTCGGTAGTCGCGCTAGAAATTATCAATGCTCCACGCTTACCATTGGTGTTAACGACCGGCTTCCTAGTCTCTGCAGTGCATAGTGGCTATGCTCCTGATTCATTATGTGTGCTACTGATCATACTTCAGCATTGTACATCACACCCTTAACTTGTGTGCTATAGTATACTGCCTTTTCCCTACATATTTGGGGCCTGTGAGACCACGAAGACCCTCCTACCAGAACTGAAACAGTACATAGATAAGCGAACCGACCGACCACGTCTAGTAGTCATCAGGTGATGCTTTGCACCAAATCCGTCCGCTAAGCCTTTAAGTTTACTTATGTCAGTTAACCATACTTGCTTGATCTAGTTAACAATGACAAATTGAAAAGACTGAAACAATCTAATAGGTACAGATCTTTCATGGGAACGATCACAAAGGATGGTCAAGGAAAAGGTTAACGGTAGAAGCCATCTTAACCAAACTGGCTCTTAATTTATCGTGATAGTTTACTTTCCTCAGTGATCCATTAAGCTAACATGTGCGATGCCTACCAACTGCCAACGGATCCACTCGTGCCAAAGACCAATGGTTTAGATCCAGAAAAGCCAAATCGCAGTGTTTTCTTCTCCATAGGTTAGAGTGATCGATAATCCTCTTCCGTCGAAGCTCAGCAGTGAAAGGTAACAATGTACGACTCTATTGCTTTTCCACTGGAGTTCCTGTTGAGCTCGAGCCAACTTCGAAGGCTCGGTCATATGCTTCCTATGCGCCGTAGACGGCTGTCTCGGGATGTGTCCTCTGTAAAACTTCTCCTAGTTTGGTGAAACCATGAGGTGACCATTCATAAAACTCATTAACACGTTGAGAACGGGATCCTTGTTATCGACCACATCAGCTGCGAGGTTGCTTAGCCATTGAAGCTTCGACGATTATTTTCCATAATTTCTTGCGCTTTTACTGCTTACCTACTATTCTTAAGTTATTATTATTACCTTTCTCTTTGGGTGACATCAACCACGGTAGCTTGATCCTGCAGCTCGAAGTACTGCTGAATCAGTCTGGATCAGTTCAATTGCACAACTGATCCTGCCACCGAAGTGCGGTGAATTTAGTTGCCACAACTCTCACCAACAGGATAACATAACCAGCAATCTCGAAAAAGCGCGTTTGAACACTGTAAGGATACAAAGGAGGAATTAACTAATAAATCCGTAAGATTAATCGGAACTGAATATTCACAGCCACATGCAAGAAACTATGAGCAGGAGCGCCACGTCCGATAAGATATCCATCTACTAACGTGGACCGGCTCGAGACTTCCATCCACGAAAGCGGCGAGTACTAGATTGATCAAGTCTCTCGGTCAGTTTCTCCTTACCTTTAGGTTACATCATCGGCTGGCTTTATCGCCGTTTCGCCCATCTGGGTGCAGAAACGTATAATGCGCGCCGAGGTAATTGGTTAACCTGCGTACGCAGGATGTGACAGTCAACGTAAGAATTAAGTTTCAGCAAAACTTGTGTGAGGCAGCATAGGGTTTCTTTCCAAACATCAATTGGTGGGTCTCAGCACTGTTCACTCATTGTTCCCACCAGATGTGAGCAATAATCCGCAAGTACACCGGTAAGTGCCAACTCTCTCAGTAGCACCGACCGTACCGCATCGTTCGACTCTCTACCTTCTACTGACAGATTGTTATCACTTCGTCTCCATACATGGTTGAGCTTCTTGAAAACCACCCAGGCTTTGCTTATACGCGAGGTAACCTTTACAGTGATGTAACCACCATTGGTGACAACTATCAAAGTCTCGAGAACGAAAGACCATCTGGTGAGCAATTGCTTTCAATGATTCCTTATCAGACCATTACAATCATATGGAGGCTAAAAATAAAAATCGACCCAGTTAGTTCAAAACGACTAGATCACGTGAAGGTCTATGTCAGAGTTGAAAAAACGAATGAGGTCTTAGTGGGCTAGTTGTTTGCTACCGCGTCTGACCGAAGGCAGTCGATCTGGGCGTCTTCGCTGGCCAGGGAAGCTGGAGAGCCTGGACCAGCTTCTGGGAGCATAATAACGGTTGTAACAATCGAATGCATATTGCTTCAGCTGTCGCAATTGTACGAAGGCGGTAACCTTTCATTCAGTGCGGCGGCACCTTGTAAACTATTCGGAAAGCGCGTTTCCAATCCTCCTCATGACCCGTGTCCACAATGTGGGCCAGAATGACGCTACTAATGGTCCCGGCGCCCCCTTGCCGCAGCCAACGAGGGCGAAGTTCGTTCACGCGTTTGGATAACTGCCGCATTATTCGACCAATATACGTTGCGCGCAGGTGCACATGAATTGATAAATTACCATCGGCATCTTGTCCTTGTTTTGTGAATGGATGAGTCGTCCTGTTGAAAACACGCACTTCAACGTGACTGCTGGGAAGGTCGACTTTGCCGCGGCCGAAAGACTTCTGGCTAGACACTCGGTAGCCGCATCCCCTTTGAATGACAAACGAATAAATAGCTCTTTCTTTGCTTCCGTTAACACTGGCATTGTTCTGGGTTTTTCTTGGAAGTTCCTTAAAATAAATCTGTCGGGATAACCATTTTCACGTAGAGTATTCTGTCTGAACATTAACTCCGCGTCTAGGGTGTCTTCCGTACAGTTTCGACGTCCTCTTGAGGTAAGACAGTGAACCAAGTTGCGCTTGTATCTCATAGGAACGAAACTGTAAAAGTACGTGTACTGACCTATCCACATTGTTTTTCTGTAAAGCTGATGCTGGCGTGATCCGTCTGGTCTGCTAGTTAACAAGACATCGAGATATGGTAGCAGATTATCGCTTTCGTTCTCGTAATTAAACTGCACTGCTGCGTGCACTCGGTTGAAGTGGTCACGAATTTTATCCAGATTAACATGTTTATCTATCACAACAAATATATCGTCCATGTATCGACGATAGCGGTCAAATGGTCTATCTCTGCCCGCATTTCCGTTATCTCTAGCTTTGCCTTGAAGATATCCGCTAATGGCGGTCCGAGGGGGGATCCCATGGCCACGCTGTCCTTCTGCTGGTAGTAATTCCCGTTGAATAGAAACTGCACATTCCAGTTGCAGCGTAACAGTAGACCTTTGAGCTGCCGCGTAGGTATACACACTTTTATTCCTGACCCGGCTATATAGTCGCAAATGTAATCGATCGTCCCACCCAGTGGGACATTTATAAAGAGAGACGATATCAAAAGAGAGCATTACTTTCTCATTGATTTTATCATCCTTGATGTTTTCGACGAAATGGAAGCTGTCACGAAGACTGTGGGTAGAGAGCTATTCTCGTACAGGTTCAAGAAATTTTACAACCCACTGAGCGACGGCATGGTACGGTGAGTTGACAATTGATAAAATAGGACGAAGTGGGATGTTGGGTTTGTGGATTTTTGGTAACCCGTAAAGTCTTGGGACACTTGTACCACTCGGTTTAAGGCTGTCATACAGAGCATCTAAAATGTACCCCTTGGCCCGGAGTTCTTGCAAGCTCTTAGTTATCTGTGTTTCAAAATGTTCATTTCGGTCCCTTTCTCCTTCAATACACGCAAACTTTGTCTCATCGCTCAGTATTGCTGTTAGTTTATCTAATGTAATCTTTTCTCTGGAGTAACACGATTCCAGCACCTTTGTCCACAGGTCTGCACAGGATGATTTCCTCATTGCGCTTTAGTTCCAAGGTGGCTGTTCGCTGGTAGCTAGAACCGGTGGCATGTCAGTCCAGCTGCGTAATAATACTTTGCACTTTGATGGTGCAGAGCATGTGCCGACAGTTGATCTTTCTAGGCCATTGTTTCACTAACTGCTGGTTTTCTTGGATCCGTGCTCGGAATGAGTTGTGATATTACTTAGTTGTTCCCAATACCACTTGCTTTTTTCAGCTCAAGGGCCCTTTGCCACACACTAGCCTTCAGACTTAATTCTACAGCTCCTTCTCAATCGTGGTTTCAGAGCGTTATGGATAAGCGGGAACTCAGTACCCATTGGAGCTTGTTTTCGTGTTTCAGTCAAACTGATCGATGTCTCAGAGAACCACAGTTCAGACGTCCCAAGTAAGAACTGCATTGGGCTTCGGAAGCTTTCTTTATGACACATTTGGAACAATTCTAGTTGACATTCAGCTGATTAACCTCGTTCACCAATTGCAACTAGTGGACAATTTCGTCTTCAGAATGCTATGTACGAACTGAGTCCAAGCTGCAAGCAAGAAATTCAAAAGTTTGGTGCTTATTTGAAGCGGGAAAAGCGAGCACCATGTGTTCGCGCACTAGTGTGGTCGGGATCCTGGTACGTACTCAAAATTGGCCGACACTCTTGAACCGGTGTGCGCCATCTGTAGCTGATGACAATATGGTCAATTTGAGTCCAGATCATCGGAGAATTCGGTGAGTCCCAGGTGACACAATATGAACGTTTTTGCCGGAAAGCAATGTTGCTGATTTAAGAACTACGCTTAGCACATAATTGCAGG